AGGTGCCGCCAGCATGTGGTGTTTTGAGCACTTTGAAACAGTGAATTATTTTACAAAGCAATGGGTTCAGCTGTGTTAGAGTTTCAAAAAGCCTTGTTTCTCCCATCACTAATTTCTCCAGTTTTGAGGGGGTTTGGGGAAGGCAATTGTGTTGATGCTGCTAAAATAACAGTGATATTAATTATTTTGTTGTTTTACCGTCAATATTTAAAATTCTAGAAAATATTATTTAGCATTAGTAATTATATAATTAGAATTTTTAGGTGGCCCTTTGCTTCTGGGGGCCCACAGTGGTTGGCAGTTTTTACTGAAGGGTTAAATCCACCACAGCTGGAATCCTCCTTATAATGTAAAGGCTGACTGTCTAACAATTTGGGATGTTTGATATCCTCCATAACACTTCATAACACAATATTTTGTATTGAACTCAAATGAGTCTGGATGTGTTTTGCTCTGTGCTATCCTGTCTCTAGACAGATCATTTGGCAGGAACTCCAAACGTTTTTGAACGTCTTACACAGAGAGTGACCCACGTGATGCCCTGACATGATAGCAATGTCTTGAAATTAACTGGTTTTTAACTAGGTAAAGAGCCAACATGTTGTTTTAAGATTAAAAATGGATGTTACAGGCACTAGATATAACTAAAACAATACTAAAACAATTGTCCCCTCAATAAGCATTTAGAGAAATGTGCCGTAGGTGAAGTGTGTTCAAAGCCTTCAGTATATCATGACTTTGTCTGAATTATGACACACCACTAACCATGACAGACGGCTCTAAAGTTCTGTTTTCAGACAGAGAAGAGACACTTTTTGTAAATGATATGATCACAGATCAAAACCTCTTGACAGAAACCTGGCTAAAACCTGATGATTACATTGTTTTAAATGAGTCTACCCCCCAAGATTACTGTTACATGAGCCGTGTCCAAAAGATAAAGAGGGAGCTGTTGCTACAATTTATAGTAATATTTTCAGTATTTCTCAGAGCTCTGGTTTCGGGTAAAAAGTCTTAATTGTTGGTGATTTTAATCAGCTTAACTAGCACTGTCCTCGCTCAGGACAGCACGCCAAATATTCTTACTATTTGCTCAATCCAATTATATGTCAGTGCAAACTCGTGAAATGGAGAAATGTCATTGGCGTGATTTTGTAAAGTCGCTGACACACGCCTATAATTGCACCAAAAGTGACACAACTGGGTATAGCTCTTAAGAACTAGTGTTGGGATGTCAGCCAAGGTTGCCCGCTGATATAGCCTTCAACTTACCGGTAAGAGAAATGCATCAATATGTGAGAGAGATTCTGATGATGATCACACTCCTTGCAGTCTGCTATTATTCCTGAACAGCGGTTTACAAAGTTGTATGAAGCTTCAATCTCAGCATGCCTGGCATCCTTTCAGTTGAATATCAAACTTGTCTAAATCAGTCATACTTACCTGGTTGTACCACTTTATCATCTAGTAGAGATGTACACGCTTTATATGATGAGGTTTTGGATGGAAAGTATGATAATGTTCAAATGGTCTGTGGAGAGAAGTTCTTCTGAACAAACTAGCTCTGACAGTGGGATTCCAGAACTGGTTGACAAAGACGATGATGTGCCACTTCTGGAAAACGCTAATGCTACAGCTGAAAAGACCGCTGGGATGTCCAGGTGTGATGAACGTCAACGTAACCAAAATGGAGAGGCTACAGATAATGGTAGCGGGAATGCAGTTCTGAAAGCTCAAGGTGGCCACCAGGTCATGTCCATTATCCTCAGCTGGGGAAACACTTGATTTCTATTGCTCAAACTATTTTGGGAAATTTTACTAAAGCTTTGGACTAATTAAGTGATTATGAGAATAATCAGATGTTTCACATTTAAGTTACCTTAACTCATGAAGGGACTCGTGATGACTCAGAAAGAGAGAGTGTAACCCATCCATGGTGATAGGAAAGTGTTAGTGGGTATGGTTCTTGAGGATATTAGAGATCTTCAGTTCTTAATGGAGCTACTGAACCGTTCCTGAGTGAACTTGCAAGAATTGTGCAATAAACTGTATAGTTGGCTGTTTCAGCTCATGACAACAGTTTGATCTTAGTGGCAAGAAAATGATTTAGCAAAAGTTTTAATTAATTTGTTAGGGAATGTGATTCTTCTTGCATTCAAAAACATAAATTAGATGACTTCAAAAGTACTGTTCATCAGATCAAATGGGGCGATTTATTAATAGGAATCGATCTGGAGAAGATTAGGAACATTAGAGAGTACTAAACATTTTAGTTGCAATTTTAGTCATTAAAAAAACAACAACACACACACACACACACACACACATACACTCACTCACACTCACACTCACACACACACACACACTCACTCTCACACTCACTCTCACACTCACTCTCACACTCACTCTCACACTCACTCTCACACTCACTCTCACACTCACTCTCACACTCACTCTCACACTCACTCTCACACTCACTCTCACACTCACTCTCACACTCACTCTCACACTCACTCTCACACTCACTCTCACACTCACTCTCACACTCACTCTCACACTCACTCTCACACTCACTCTCACACTCACTCTCACACTCACTCTCACACTCACTCTCACACTCACTCTCACACTCACTCTCACACTCACTCTCACACTCACTCTCACACTCACTCTCACACTCACTCTCACACTCACTCTCACACTCACTCTCACACTCACTCTCACACTCACTCTCACACTCACTCTCACACTCACTCTCACACTCACTCTCACACTCACTCTCACACTCACTCTCACACTCACTCTCACACTCACTCTCACACTCACTCTCACACACACACTCACTCTCACACTCACACTCACTCTCTCACACACACACACACACACACACTCTCACACACACACTCACACTCACTCTCACACACACTCACTCACTCACTCACTCACACTTATACTTAATATGTGGAGTTTGACCGGGAAATTGAATAATTCCCATTTCAGGAGCTTAAAATATCATCTTGATGTGTTGTTGAGTGTCAGAATCGATGGAGTACAGGATCCAATCTGAAGTGTTATCACATACCAGACAAAAAACCAACGACAGCTGTGGTTAAAGGCAATAAAACGAGCGGACTGGACAGAAACGATCATCAAAAATACTCGCGTTTGTAGCGCACACTTAATATCAGTTAAAGTTAAATAAACTACTCTCTTTCATGGATTATGGTTTGGTTACGAGTATAAAGATTTCTAATGCATGCACATCTAATCAGAAATTGGGGAACAAGTTAACTAACGACCAGAGACTAAACAAAAGAAATCGTTTGCTTCGTCTCGCTTTCTTCAATTGCCATAAGTGCAGCTGTAGAGAGAGAACAGTGAAGCATGTTATGTGTCAGGTGTGTGTTCAAGTACTTGCATTTGCTTACAATTGCCTCTGTTAGTACATAGTTACAGGCATCTAAAGATTTACATGCCCTGAGTTTCTATTTACTATCCGCGGTCAGTTTCTGTGCCAGTCCGGTCAGATCGTCCATCCATCTATTGAGTGAGTACTGAGAGTTGACCAGTCTGGTTCCTTCCGTTAAAGTTAACATTTTCAAATAACAATAACGATACCAGACAGTGAGTGACATTACACATTCAGATAAAATCTAATTTTCTCCAGTCACTGTTAAAAAAACAAGCAAACAAATCTTGCTAGCTAGCGTTAGTGAAGCGGTCAGGGGAATCTTTCTGCCTCCACCTAAGCTCCACTCATAAAAAACATCACAGTGTTTACGAACTGAAAAGGGGTCAATAGTTAGCAATAGTAAAATTGACCAATCACATCTTTCCTCTAAATGGGCAGGCCTTGTGCCAGTGTGCCAATAATAATATTATTTATTATAAACACTGCTTGTTTGTCATGAAGTGTCTGTCGCTCATTTGTTCTACTGTGAGCGCTGTCATGTTGTGTTGGCTTACATTAAACACACATCACATTTGTTGGTGTTGTGCACAGAATGATTGAGTGATGATGCATTTGTAAAGAGGATTTTCATTTGATTTAAATTTAGCTATGTATTATTTTGGTGATATCAGTCAGTCACTGTCGCTGTGCTGTTTTCTTGTTGCATTTCTGAAAGGCGGTTGCACACCAGACGAGAAGCAACTCGTGTATGACATACCGGACACATCGCGTTCAGTTCAAGATGGCAGTCCAAAACTTTTAATCTAGTCACCAAACAGTCAAAAGTTCAGTTCAACACAATAAAACCAGGAAAATTCAGGCTGTTAAAAGCATAGAGTGCAATGCACCATACCCTAAAACAGTCCATACGAATCCTAGTGTGTGTTGATAAGCCCCAATGTGAAAGTGTACACAGTCCAGTGACGATCCAAATCCCTTTAGTTGTGTCTGGAAAGGCAAGTCCACAAAATGGTAACTCCACCATCTAGATTAGTGGTTGTTGTATCTAGTGTCTGTCCATTTGTTAGCCATGCACTCTTTATACAGATGTACTTCCTCATGCTTCATGCCTTATAATACTTATTTCAACAACAACAAAAATTTTATTCATGTCAGAGAATAAATAAACAATATTAGTCAGAATTCATGATGTAACTGCTAATGTTATAAGCAGATGCAGCTGTGTAACTGATTCAAACTCCAGCTCAACTTGCTGTGTGAGGGGCCAGTTCAGATTAAGATTTACATCCAGCAACTAAAGAGTGAGTTATTGTGCTCTGTTAAATAGCACGCAGTGTAATCATTTCGTCAGAGTTGCGGGTTAGTTGTGTCATATCAGTCGCTGCATTAGTGCATCAGCAGCAACCACAAATAATCGGATTTATTTAAAAAAATAATAACAACCTTAATGTTCGCATTTCCTCCACACGAAAGCGAGGCTGCGCATTATGCTCCTGATCTCGAGAGTGCCTCTGTTGTTTAGCTGCACTTGAGCGGAGTTTGTGAGATGAATAGCGATGGCTGTAGCGTCCCGTGCTCTTACATGCGCGTTGGATCTGTGCGTCGAGACGCGTCGAGACTAAGCGACGGTAAAGCGCTGTGTTTAAACGACATCGATGGACGATCGTGACTCGACGCGCCACACCAAAGGTAAGAGCCGCTGATGTGACAGCTGGGTTATTATGTTAGCGATGGGAAATTATATTCTGCCGTATATTATATTCTTGGCAGAGGTGGAGGTTTGGACGACATTGACGCGTTTGAGCTCAGATGTTGCTCTCAGTCTCCTGTGATCGAGACAGAGGAGCAGAAGTGCCATGCTGATGCTGATTTAGTGAGTGACCAGAGCATCAGATTCAACACTGAATATGATCTTCTGCTAGCTTTGCTGTTATAAGCACCAGACGCAAACCGGGTCCATGCATTTCAAGCCTTATTCTATGTTAAAAGATTTGACGTGAACAATTTCCTGAATGTGTAAGATAAATCTTACGTCCATTAGCTGGTGTCTAACCTTTTTTGATTAGGCTACCATACATTTTAAACGGTCATGCAGTGTGACAAAAGTTGAAAGTTCAAGTGCATTTGAACTCATAAAAGCTGTGAATATTAGGGGAGAGCAACAACCTAACACTTGTAAATCCACTTGAGTTTCAGAATGTTTATTTCTTTACACATTAATTTCACACAAGTCTAGTACAATTTTGTGGTTTTTATTGTTACAGTGTACACTTTTTTTTCTTTATTTACCCCAAAATAATTGAATTGAAAAGTGACAACATGCCCCATAGGTGGGGCACGCAGTAACGTGATAATTTAACAGCTTAAAATGTTACCTGATTTAACTATATATACAGGGCCTAAAATGAACACTCGCCAAAACGAGAGTAAAAATCGGCTTTGGCGAGTATATGAAACTGTGTCAGTCGCCAGATGGCCGGTAACATTTTTATAAATTCTAACAGTGCAATATTGTGAGAACATAAACGTGAACAAATGTGAGCGACGCTCTGTACAGTTAACGGGTCAGTGCTGCTTCTTCACAAAAGTTTAAGCCTTTGCAATGTAAATATTCAAGAGCTAGAACACATGAAAGGAGACGCGTTACTCGCGCTGAGTGGGAAGTTTAAACATCCGAAGCCCCGGCCTGAAAGCCGCGTCTTGAGCTCTGCTTCCTTCCTGCGCTTGAACGGACAAATTCACACAAAATTATGTCAGAAATGCCCATCTCTGTGAGTATCCTAGTAAAGTAGTTGGTTCTTAAGTGAACATGAACAGCTGAGAAAAAAAACGGACACGAACCGCGCATGACGCAATGTGTCACAAGACAATAGAACCCATTATAATCAGTGATATTGTCTACACTGGATGCCGCGCAGACACCACAAATTGCCGAAAGTAAACAGATTCTCCGTTCTGTTTCGGAAATAGTTAAAGCAACGGCCGCTTTGTCGCATCCAGTGTTGACAACTTCAAGCTGCTGCGGTGTAGACACGGTGTTAAAGTGATAGACACAGAATTCCAATAATCCTGCTGTTGTCTGCGTTTTTAATGTTGACCAAAGAAAATAGAAAAAAAAAAACAATCACTCACTGCTCTTGAACTTTAAAAAAGATATAAAGACTATAGTGTTATTTGATTAGCATAATTTATTAAATTTCTGTAGGCTACTTGAAAATCACTGTTAGACCTGCCTGAAATGCACCGTTTCTATTTGTATCTTTGTTGGCTATTTTGTGCTATTGCTTGTAATTTGATTTGCTCTTATTTTACAACTGACTATTTACAAGTGAAAATGTAGTCTATTACATTTTTATTGGTTAAGCTAGTAGTTTTAGCAGGTATCGAACCATATATACATACATACACACACACACATACGATAAAGCATTTTGTCAGTAAAATACAATTGTTAACATTTTCATATAAAACAATGGCTTGTAATATTTAAAAATAAACACATTTTTTTATTTGACAATGAACAAAATGCAGCTATACAGAAACGGTATGTGCAAAAAGACGAAGAAACACCGAGCTGAACACAACACACCCCTCTCCTCCCTCCACACACAGACAAATAGATGAGTCAGAATGCGTTACATTACTTGAAATAATAATTTCTGAACATTGAACATTAACGCTGTCTTTATTCACCTGTCTCATGGCTTCTCAACAAAATCCATAAAAGTTAATGTGAATTATTTCACTAATGTCATATAGTTCTAATAGCGGGGCACGTTTTAATGTAGAGTTACAACATGCCTCACCTGCACAACTGGGATTTAGTGGCTAGTGTCTACTGCTAGTTAGATAAACATTAAAGAACCATTTAAACTGCTAAATAGTGTTGACATGGCAACTAGTCAATACAGTAAGTTTTGTCTTGCTAGCATCTGTGGAAATGTTTAAGCCATGAATGTTACAACCCCTTCTTTCTCCTTAATATAAGATGATTGACCAAATTATCAAAAACATTGAAATAGTGGTAGATGAAGTACAGCATGTCACACTGCAAATGCCAACTTCCCATAAGTATTGTCCCATGCCAAAGTTTCTTCAATAAATGTAATATTTGGAGACAGATGTGAAACGGATAGTATCATGATTTTTGTGTTTGCTGCGGCCACAGTGTGTAAAATAATTCGTAACTGTTTGACTTCATAAAGCTGTAGTGCATGTTGAGGATGAGTGAAGTCTCAACTCAGAGTGAAGCAGAATTAGCAAAGCATTTCCCTTAAATTAAATTCATGCAGTGCTCAGGAAACAAGTCATGACTGTACTGCGTTTGTTTGTTTTGCTAAGAATTGTATTGGTTGTGTATTTACATTAGTTCTGATCACTTCATCAGACCTCACCTAGTAGTAGCAATGACAACATAATGTCTGATATTTCGTAGCGTAATGTCTTCAACATAATGTCTTCTAAAATAGCCCACGACATTTTAATACCAATAGATTTATTGGTATGTTTAATCAACGATGTCAAAGCCTTTTGGAAAATCTATTTGTGGTGGTCAGTTTTGATATTGTGGCAGGCCGACACAAATAAATCAATGAATGGGAAACACTGTTCTAGCACTATTCTACTAATTTATGAATTTCAAAGTATTCCTGAAATGCACAATGCTCAGCTGATTTCATAGCCGTTCAGGCAGACACGTCGCTAGATCCTATTACATCCCAGACTCCGTAAAACGCTGACAGTGACGTGATCTCAGTTCACAGTCGCTGCAGTAGCTCTCAGGTTATTCCCAGCAGTGGCCTTTACTGTGCTTCACTCGTTCACTTGAACCAGAATTGGCCTCAGCTTTCACTCTAAAAAGAGCTGCGTCCCACATGCATGCACGGACACGCCTTGAGCATCAGATGTTGACTCGTGTTAGAGGCCGTTTTCACAGAATGCGCTTTTCCATTCCAAAGTGCTACTTTTTCATTGTTTTTCTATGTAAACGCGCTAGACAGATGCGTATGACCGTTGCACTCGCATCTCGTGTCTTTTGCAGCATCGTGCACATGAGCGCCGCATTTTTGCGATTCCATTTCAGGTTTAAAGAACTTAAACTTGTACCCGAAACAGCGGACCAATCAGAAGACCCCAGCTTTTGTTTACAGTAGCAAGTTGGCATGGCAACTATTTTATTTGACAGCAACATGGCGGAGGAGGCATCCTGTGCTGCACTTTTTTAACAACTATTCCTGAGCACTGCCTCTCACGTTTTTAGATTTACATTTTAGACACCCTTAACAGTACCAGTCACTGTTGAATCCGGAGAAAGTTTGTCAAGAAGCGAATAGAATTATACCTGTGGTCGGTGCTTGCATGAGGCAGGTTCCTGCCAGCCACAAGCTTCCTCTGGTTGTTCCACTCTTAGTCCTTCTCTTACCAGCCGTTTTGCTTCAATACTCTGTGTTTACAAGTACTATCCTTCTCTGGAACTAGTAGCAGACCCGGACATGGTCAGAAATGCACTCCATTTCTCTGGCGCTCACCCAAACGCTCTCTGTTCAATGACATCGCCTCACAAAGTGTTCAAACTCACAAAGAAAACAGATGTTCCTCTGAGCCACTTGCACAAATATGTTTACGATTAAATGATTAGAAGCCTCCACTCCTGCATGTAAGCTACCACGTGACTCATGATTGACCTGACCTGTGCTGGGAAGGCTGGAGACTGGACCGCTTTCCTTCAGAGTTTATCCCCAACCCTGATGAAGCACACCTGAATTAATTGAGCACACCTGAGCTAATTAAGGTCTTCAGGATTACTAAAAAAGCTACAGGCAGTGAAAACAGTCACAAACATAATTTTAAATCCGAACATTACAAAGTGAGTAACTAAAAGGACAGACATGAAAAACTGCAACAGCTAAATAAGGCAGAAAATACATAAAAAAGCAACGTAACAACACTGCATGTGCAGTTACTGTGACATCACAGTGTTCTAGTTATTGTGTAAATAAATAGGATTACTGTCATTCAGATAATCAGTGATTCTGCATTGTAATTTCCTGCTCACTTACAGTATGCCATGTCATTTAACTGTAATCAACTGTAAAGCTACTGTACAGTGACTAGACAGCAGGAATATAAGATTGCACATTTTGTTACTTATTTTTGCACTGTGGGAATATGATGTTTGTTTAATAGGAGGAAGCATACTGAATGTCTTAAGTTGACAGCAGTCCAAACAGATCATCAGGTTTTCAAATAATACCTCTCTAAGTAGCCCTTGGGCCTCAGAGGATCTGCTGGCTATAAATAAGGGCACATATGTCACTGTGCTTCTTCTGGCTGACATGAACTAATCTCCCTCTGAGCCAGTGGAGCCAGATCTCTTTCGCTGCTTTCTGACAGAGCTCATCGTCATCTCTTTCTTACAATATTATTACTTTATTTTTCGATTCCTCACGAAATGCCGTCTCCCGGTTCCCCATATCACCTTTCAGCGTGCACAGCCGTCTCCGCCGTGTAAGACTGTAAGGCTTTGATCTGTCAGGACAAGATGTGATCGGGATTGAGTTTGTTTGACTCAAAATCCCTTGCCATATGTCATACTTCATTTGGATGCTCGTAAATCATGGATGCCACCGTGACACGACATCAGAAGAGCATTCAGCTTTGAAGTTATGAAAAACAAAAGCACGCATTTG